AAAATGCTGTGCTTTGTGGCCTATGCCCCAACCTGAGAAACGAGACTTTTTGATGCACAGACAGTTCTAGGTGTCAGTGGTGCTAAAGGAATGTTTAGTGTCACACGGACAGACAACAAAGAACTGAATGTGTTATACATGGTTGTAAGCAGAGGTGAGACAGGGGGAGGGTCATGCAGGGTCACGTGCACCCCCCCCCCCGATTTGCTGCTTGGCTTGTACTGAGCATGCTCACACGGACTGAGCATGCTCAGTAACACTGCTGAAGCTGCTGCCCTCACTCTGGCCCCCCATTATCGGCAGCCATAGGGTCATCTCTGGTTGTAAGTTTCCCTCCTTGTATTGGTGCTGCTGAGTGTAAACCTGATTGGGTTCTCACCAAGGGAGAGGGGCCTAAGTCCACGGTGTTTATGAAACTAACAATTTATAGAGACAACTGGCTTTGAGCTTCTTGCTGGCATGACACACTTGGCTTGTGAGTTATGTCCCCTTCTAGTTGCTGGTCCCCACAGAGGATAAAAGCCTACTACTGCTAAAGCTAATAGAGTAAAAATTTACTCTTTCAGCTCAAGTTGTGCTTCTATGGCCTTATTCACAGCCCTGAGGGCCAATGGAAAGATTCCAACTGACTTCAGCGGGCTTTTAATCATGGCCTGTGGTGCCAGGTCATTGGCATTTAAGTCCAGTACCTTCAGCACTGAAAGCAGTGGCTTTGCCACTTGAGCTAACGGAGTAACGCCATTCGCTGGTAGTAGCAGTTTCTTGGCAATGCAGTAATTAGCAAGAGATGATACTCAAAACCTAGAGATTACAAGTTTAAATGTGTTCATTTGTGAACTGAGTCCCCTCTGAATATGTGAGCATATGCACTTCAAATTTATATCCAAAAATCTCTGTTTGGATTAAAAAAAAAAAAACTCTTCAGATTTACATCTGCACAAATACTATGACGGAAAGGATGGGGTCAATTGAGTTATCTTTCAAACCGGAGATAAATATTGACTTGTCTTGGCAGAAAATTCCACCAAAAATGATTATTGTTGATTGAGTCTTCTATGACAGAAGGCCAGATAAGCAACAGCAGATACCAAAGATAATCCCCACCCAACTAGCATTAAGCACAAATAAAATATGGTTCCCTGTAAACCGAATGTTATGTGAAGATTGGGACAAAATTCCAACTTTTGTAGGATGTCCTTCAAACCAAATTCACAAATACATCTAGTGACTGACCTAATGTCGCTACATTTCTAGCTACATTCCTATCTTCTCATCATAATACCTGAGTTTGCAATGCAACACATTCACTTTACCCTGTTTAAAAAACACAAGTCATTAGAGGACTTGGTGCAGAAGACATTAATGACTGTCCAGCGAGTTAGGTCCTGGTTCGGTATGTTAGTCTCGTTCTTGCTTGTGAATTTAACACAGCTTTTATGCTCACTGCGATACAAGGGGGTTTGTTAACAGATACTGCTGCCAATCAACATTTATCAAAATGGTTTACACAGTTGCAAGTAGTAGCACATCCTCTCCCTCCACCCCCATCAAGTTTATTAAATATTTGCTTGCGCAGCATTTTCCTGGGGAGTCAATTAATTTTGGACAGAGTACAAAATAGATGTTTTTGTCAGGTGTTTGGCAAAAACAAGTTTTCTAATTTTAGCATAGAGATCTTCTAATTAAAACAAACCCTTATTCATCAATAATTAATCATCTAATAACTGTGGAATAAGATTAATTCTGTGCAGTTAAACTATTCCTGAAATGTGTAAGCAAGCCAGAAAATAACCCGTAATACAAGTATCATGTGGAATTATTTGAAAATGAAAGTTAAAGCTGGCAATACTTCCTAACTTAGAAATAAACAGATACACTAAAATCTTCCCATGTATACTTGAGGTATATACTGTATGCAGAAGGCTTTCCTGAGAAATATGTGCTTGTCTCATTTTATAAACAGAAAGCAAATGAGATTCATGAAACTAATTTTGGATTCGTCAAGCGATATAAAAGTGGAATTCTGCTGATCCCAGCAGCTGTTACCCGTAACATCTTATTTTAGGAAAGTGTATATCAGCAGCTAGTGGACTACCTAAAGCAAGGAAAAAAATCAAGTGGGAAGATTCACAAAGCAGAATTAAAGAGAGCAACACTGCCTTTGGTCTACATGGTTAGTCAACAGTTTGTCTCTGCTGAGATGGTTTTGGATGGAGTAGTCTTCATCTCTTGCAGGCAGGACCCATTTGCACTTATTGTACAGAGTAACTGTTGACTAACCTAGAGATGTGCCAAGCTAGCAAGTTCCAATGGCTGTTGGGCTGCTATTACACTAGTCTGTAGGTAGCATTTGGGGTTGGACTGAATGATATGCTTCTGCTGTTCACTCAATTCATTTCTACCCACTAGCAGGTACAGTACTTCAGTGGCGAGCAGGTGCTTGTTCAGAAGAAAAGACTGCTTCTCCTGACCACATATTTAATTTGTGCCATACACTATGATGGGTCATGACTGGACAGAGGATGGCAAGGATGTAAGGATGGTTTCTCCCACCCCAGAAGAGCAGAAGTTGTTTCCTGAAGACCTCAAGGTAGTTTAAAAATAGCAGGTTCTTTAACATTCAAAAATGTCTCAATCAGCCTAATGTAACCACTCAAAACAGATTCACAACTAAGGGTCCCAGCAGAAAATTCAGCAAAGGAAACATGGCTGCCTGTTAGAATGAGTGAGATTTCATAAATATATGAATGATGGAAACAGGGAAAGAAACTCGTCCCCAGCTAGCAATCATGTGGATACAGGAAGCCATGGAGGACACTGAGGCTTAATGGACAGTAATACATGTTGTTAATCAAACAGCTGAACAGCAGCAATTAAAGTATTTTTGATGTAATGCAAGTGACTGAAGTTACTGGGTGGAACATCTAAATTCTGGGAGATTTAGAACTAAGTAATATACATGAATTGTACTAAGAGCCAAGTTTTCCTACTACACTCCCCTCCAAGCAGTAAAATGGTACATGCAGGACTTGGTTAATACCCATATGTTCTCCAAGGTTCAACAGACACCCAATAGCAGAGGATACTGAAATCTCTTCTCAGAAGTCATATTTATTTTATCCACAGGAGGGATAGAAGCTGCTAGGTTTGAAGTGTTCGCTGATGTGAATTGCTTGTAACTACTGTAGTAGGAAATCCTCTTCACTGGAGTAATTTAAAAACTAGGCCAGATCTAGCCATGGAGAACATATATTGCCCTGGCTTCTCAGAATGCTTTTCCAGTTTGTGATTCTAAGAGATAGCATTTAGCCAATAATTAAATGATTTGCAGTCTGCCTGGTTTATTTCTGCCACCCCATTCAAAGCCTGTTATTAATTACAATGACAATTCCAGTTTGGTAGGAGAGTCGTGAGGGAATAATCATGCATCAGTTGGAGAGAGAGAGAGAGAGAGAGAACAATTCTGCATTGCCCAGGGAAGGGGAATATGGGCTAGGGGCCTGTCTCAGCCTTGGAATGCTGCAATTCTCTTGTGACAGAATTTCAGGGGGACCCAATTTACACCATGAGAGCTTCATTTGAAAACTGATGAAGACTTTTTTTTTGGTCAACTAGTAAACTTCATTTCTCCCTCTGATTCCAGAGAAACTCCATTTTGAAATCTCTAGATTCCTGGCTTCCATTTTGAATAAGCAAGAGTCACTCCACCACTGGCTGACAGCTGCAGGTCACGTAGCACTAGGAATTGGCAGGAAAAAGAAGGTGGTAAACAACAAATGACAGATCATAACACTGAGGTAAATAACGGTCAAATGGAATGACTGACATGTGACCGTTAGCAAAGTAGGGTATAAAAGTCAGCAGCAGCTGACAGTTGAGAGGTTGAGAAGGCAGCTGAGCAGAGAAGGCAGAGGAAGGCGCAAAAGACGTGAGGGTGAGACGAAGGAGAAGCAGCAGTAAGCAGTGGGAGAAGAGAAGGATGCAGCAGAGGAGTGGGAGAAAGAAAACAGGAAAAGATACTGTGCCGTCAGCTGAGTAAGTTTGTCAGACAGAGTAACAGGTATAGTTATAGCATAGCATAGTATAGTGTTTGCATATATGTGTGTGTGTGTGTGTGTGGGGGGGTTAATACAGATGTATGCATGTGTGTTGACTGTGAAAGGGATTTATACGTGTAAAAACTAATGGACATCTAAAAATGGCTGTTAGCTATCTGTGACAGACTGACCATCTGAAGCAGGGAGCATCCACTCAGTATCGTTTCAAGCTATAAGGCAATGTGGTTTGAGGTGCTCTTTAACTTGTTATAAGGGATTTGTGTTTAGATTGTTACTGTGTCAAGAAATTGTTCAATAAAAGGTGCCTTGTTTTGGAACACTGCTTGTGTCAATAATTTATCCACGGCTGTATCTGTGTCCTCCAAGTATTCCCTTAGCCACCCTGGAGACCCACACTTAATGAGAACAGATTGGTTATAACAATAAACAGGCTGGCTATTCTGGGGGTACCCAAATTCTGGTTTTGGTGTAACACCTTCTCCCCCACTTATCTTTTTTGAAGCTTGGCACTTCTCTAATGCCCACACTCCTCCAATGCGCTCCAGCATTTGGGATGCTAACAGCTCTCCCAGTGGAGTGAGGCAGTTTGCTCTCTAGGCAAACACTTTGGATATGAATCATGGAATGATCAGTACATGAACAGCTTCTTCTCATTGAGGTAGTCTTAGTCATATCGGCCCCCAGCCCCCCAAATACAAAAGAACTAACCCTAACAAACACTGTAACATTAAACATCTTCACATTCTGTAAACTGCAAGAGAATGCATCTGCTGCATTCATACAGAACCATGTGCACTGTGTTGAAGATCATACATTCAACTCTGTCGTGAAATAAATATATAGGAAAAGAGTTTAAAAAACAAAAAACAAACAAAAAAAGATTCTTGCTACAATGACAGGGCTACCTGACGCCCTGTCTCAGCAGCTCCCTACTGCCTTGATCATGGTTTTCCCTCCCCTCTCTCTTCACACGTGAGCCAGTTCCCCACCAGAAGCACCAGAGTAAGGCATGGGTTCGGGGCAATGAAGGCTCACTCTTTGCTCACGCTTGTCTTGCAGGAATGCAGAACGGCTTTAAAAAGGAGGGGCAGCTGCTCCAGAGGAACATTCACCATTTTTCCTGTTAAGAAAGAATCAGAATTAGCTGCCATTCCTGAGCCAGATTTCAGAAATGCTCATCTCCAACAAGCTGGTGACACTGGAGATGGTTTCACCTTGAACCTTTAGAGAAACAGTAAATCACCCAATTCCTACATTAGACATTTGATATTCTTTTGGAAACAACAGGATGTGTTATATAGTGGAACAGAAGCTAAGTGCGTTGGCGAAGTCAGATGAAAATGATTTCCCCATAATGGGGGCATATTTATAGAAGATGGGAAAGACTACATCCCACCTCTGTCAACCTCCCCTGTCAATCACAGTGACTAGATTGTGTGGGATGTGTCCACTGGTCCCAGTGGACAATTCTGCTTGGTATGACAGAGGAAGGTGAAACACACAAATCCAAATCAACATGCCCTAGGGAAGAACATTTCTTCCCCATCCCAAATAACCTGTGTCCATTATCTTAACATTTAGGTACAAAATGTCTGATGTTCTCATGAAGATCCTGGAAGAATTCCTCTAGAGCCAATTAATGATGCATTGAGATGGAAAATTCACGTGCAGATTTCAGTAACCCAAATTCCAGGGAAGTTCAGATCTGGGGACTTCGTTCAAGCCTGTCTAGGCTTTTATATTGTGATCTTCACCATGGTATGCAAGTGCCATCTCTAGACTCAGTGCAAGCTCCTCCCTGGGAGGCCTTTACCATCTACAGATCAGGGTTATTTCTGCAGCAGAGAAGACACTTCAGAGTTGGGTCTGAAATTAAGACCCTAAGGAGGTTTCGATCAAGATACTAAGTAGAGCTCACTATTTGTGAAAAAAGAATACGCCTTCTTACCAGATGCCAGGCTTCCAAGGCTCAAATAGAACAGGTCCCACACAGACCCAGCTTTATTACACTGGGTAAGATGGGGGGGGGGGGTTTATCCTGTAGAGAAAGGCTCAAATAGAACAGGTCCCACACTGGCACTGCTATCCAGCCAAGTAGATAGGAGTTTAATTATAAAAAGAAAAAAGTCTCCTTTAAAGGAGATTTAATGATTCACACAGGGGCCAGCTGGGAGAAGAGATCAAAAAGTTACCTGCAATGTATCGTATCTCTGGCAAACACATCATTAGATCCGGAAACCGGTTTGGCTGATGTGGGTACTTGTATTCTGTAAAATCCTGGCACACGTACCAATACCGTTTATTCAATTGCTCCAGTTGGGATGTATTAGCCAGGCCCCTAATGTCTGAGTGAAAAGACAAAAACGAAGTGACTGGGAACAGCTGTAATACTAGAACAAAACCAGAGTCATATTTTTCCTCATCACTATTCGAGTCAGCAACTGTAAAATGGAAGGACAAATCCATTTATAAAACTCAGTCTAACAACATCTACCTAAATTATACAATGCTATTGAGCAGAGACTTCAAGTTTATAGTCACCACAGGATTAAAATTTCACCCTCCTCCTCCAGAACATACTGTAATGAATATCTCCTACATATACACACTTCAGATTAGATGTGAGGGTACAAGATCTTCCTTTCATAAGGGACACAGATGAGAACATATAATGTCCTAAGTTGCTCATGCTCAGAGATCATGAACCTTTCAGAAGATAACAGCTCTAGCAACCTTAAATCTCTACTTTCTTTTTATAAAGTAGCTATATGTCAAGGCTTTCAGGCCTAACACGGGGAGCAACATAATATTTTCCATAGAAAGAAGCATGTTGATTCTAGTTACATCATCTCAGCTCTATGGGAAGTGTTCAGATCAGTAATTCAGGGTGTCGTCTGTTTAGGAATTACGCCATGTGAGCTTTATAAACTTGCCAAGTTTTTATTTTAAAATTTAGCTTTTCCAAATGTTTAGCAATGTACACAAAGAAAAAAGTAGATATTTCGATGCTAGCAAAATGATTTGAGAAAGTCCCTTTGAATGTATTTCAGCATGATCAATGACATTTAGATACTACTTGATGTCATGGGAGGGGATCCAATAAATTAAGAACAGGCAAAATATGCAACTCTTCTGAGGCTCAGTATTGTTCTTCAGAAATACTATACAAGGGAAGGAGCATTTATTTGCTGTCCAAAAGCTGACCTTTAAAAATAATTTTCAGGTATTCCACATAAAAAAATTGCAAACTACAACTAAAAATAAAAGAAGACAGGAAGTTAATGAAAATACATTTTGGAAAACAATGGAGACAGCTAAAGAAGTCTATCATCCAGTGTCAGGAAACTGTCCAGGGAAGCAAACCGGAATCTGTGCCGGGGCGCACACTGAAGTGTCAGCACAAAACACTTGGTATAACCAGGGGGAGGAGGGAGATTTCAGCATATCCTTGCAAAGTAGAACATTTCCCTGTGGTACAGAAAACTCCCAGTGGTACTTGTTTATTGAACTGCTTTTGAAACTCACCTATTAGACTAGTGCCATTCAATAGCTTTTTTCATTTATGCACAAGCAATACAGAAAACAGTGGTAACATGCGTCATAGATGTGCAGTAACATCATACACACTAGTACTGACATGAGAATCACACCACGGTGTTAGACTGGAGTGACCCATACACAAGTGTTACTGAAGAAAGTGAACCTTCCAAATCCTTTCAGCATGGTAGAGACTCAGAGAAAAGACGAGTAACTTCCCGCCCTGGACTACCATTGCCGAATCAATTTGCATGTTATTTCTATGCTGACTTCATGAATTTTGAAGTGTTAGGAGTCTCATAACAGAATTGACTGACAGCTCTAAAATGCTGTGCTTGACCACAAACGGAGTCAGTCCCGTATTAGGCAGCATTCATTACCTGAAAATATTACTGCATTAGGCACCATATTAAAGGACAAAATGCATGTTCTCACTTTCTTAAAAAATGTCAGATAAAGGTATTAGGTGAAGGGAAACACCCTGATGAAGAATCCAGGAAACAATGCCAGTGAGGTTAGCCAACATTTAGCGCACAAAGGTTTACAAAGCTAACAGGGGGAGGGATAGCTCAGTGGTTTGAGCATTGGCCTGCTAAACCCAGTGTTGTGAGTTCAATCCTTGAGGGGGCCACTTAAAGATCTGGGGCAAAATTAGTACTTGGTCCTGCTAGTGAAGGCAGAGGGCTGGACTCGATAACCTTTCAAGGTCCCTTCCAGTTCTAGGAGATAGGATATCTCCATTTATTTATTTAACAGCTTAAATTGGAAAAAAGTGATGCAAATTGGTTGTCTTGATTGCTGCCTGTCAGAAAACGCCTAGAGCAGTGATACCCAGACTGAGGCTGGCAAGCGGCTCTTTAATGCATCTCCTGCGGCTCTTTGCAGCACATGATATTAAAACACTGTGTGATTTAATTATTACCCCATCTAAGTTATTAACCAATCCGGATGCTTTTACTATGTTATTAGCCAATTGTAATTGATAAAATGATACTTGGTCAGTCATTTTGCTGGGAGAATAAAATTAAATTACACACACAGAGTGAATTCACACGACTGTGGCTCTTTCGGGTAATGTTGATCGTTAATTTGGCTCCTGAACCACTGAGGTCTGAGTGTCACTGGCCTAGACCCTTCCACCATGAGCAGCAGTATTTTCAGATGACATGCACTTGTGCATGGTGAGAAGTTTGCCACAACAGCTGGTAGGTAATCAGTCATTCAGGCCTTATCTAGAAAGATTTCATCAGTCACTCTGCTCTGTTCTTATTCTGCTGCTGGTAAAGTAGGTACGTATTTAAAGTGACGCACATACTGTCCTTGGTGTCTACGATTAAAGGCATTAAAAATTGATTTAGCAAAGTGAATCCTTTCACTTCCTCTACAATTGCTTCATTTAGGTGTCTGAAATAGCACACACTGCATATGGCTGTAACTGCACAATGGCAAAAACAAAACCTTTTAATACTCAGGCGTCTATTTCAGTTTGGATTTAGGACCCCTTCTCTCTCTCCCCATCATCCAAAGGAAGCAAAGATTGACAAGCTTATTGACTAGCCATTTACTCCAGTGGGACTAATCCCCTTCTTCCGCCACTCACCTTGATTGAGGAAGTTAATGGCTTTCATACATGCATACTCCTCATTGCTGACCTTCAATTGGTTAAATTTGCGGTAGAGGTAGATCAGCCGTTCCATCACCTCCATTCCCTCTTCACTGAATCTGAAGGAAAGGGAGACAGATGCACACAACAGGGTACTCAAAGAGGAGAGGCCCTTTGCAATTAAACAGTAGGGAGCTTAGTGACTTACTAAAACTCCATGGTGTTTAAATGGGGAAAGGGATAGCTCAGTGGTTTGAGCATTGCCTGCTAACCCCAGGGTTGTGAGTTCAATCCTTGAGGGGGCCATTTAGGGAACTGGGGTAAAAATCTGTCTGGGGATGGGTCCTGCTTTGAGCAGCGCGTTGGACTAGATGACCTCCTGAGGTCCCTTCCAACCCTGATATTCTATGAAAAGACCTTAATGCCTTGCATTATAATTCAGAGACCCAGATGCTTCAGGTCTGTTGGCACCATTCACGAGAAGCAAAACTGGTAACAAGGTGATTCAGAACATCATATTTGCCAGTTACATCAGACCTTTAAGGAAAATGGGGATTTCACGGGTGCACATGGGTGTATATTGGCATAGCTGCTTGTGTGCACGTGATGCATGGTCATGGTATTAGGCTGCTATGACTGGGAGAAACAAGTATTAGAAGTTCCTGGCTCTGCCAATGATTTCTTGTATGGTCCTGGACAAGTTACTAATCCTCTCTCTCTCTCTCTCTCTCTCTCTCTCTCAATTTCCCCATATTTAAATGAAGATGTTATTTCCCCACCTCACAGGCTTGTTGTGAGGCTTAATTCACTGGTTTGTGAAATGGGATGATCCTTACACAGAAAGCTCTAGGGTTGTGCAAAGTATTATTATACACTCAGTAATAGTTACACTATATTTTATGACCCATCAGCTGTGCAGGTCCATCTAGGAAGTTTGGCGAAATCTATACAACTTCCAGCTACATTATAGTTATTCACTATTACAGGGTGTCCATCATAAAATGCAGGCTACAGGGCAAAGGAAGGGTTGAAAACAGGAACAGGAAAACCTCTAAAGATTTAGTGGTTCTTTTCAGCTGATCTTTCTCAGAAGCTCTTCTTTAGAAATCAGTCTAGAAATTTGGAATGAAGAGACTGTCCCTCCTGTCCTGCTGCTCATCTTGGAACAGACTCAGCAAAATCAGGCTTGCCCTGCCAGGTTCAGTATGTGCTAAGTACCTGATGGTTGGTCCTGGACACCCTAGGCCTTCACGCTGGATCCAGGGCACTCATTTCTCACATTACACAGCACTCTGCCTGCTTCAACACAGCCACTCGTTCTTAAGGCTTTATACTGAAGGGAAAAAAATCACACCATCCTCCTCCACTCACCGTCCCAGCACTTCCCCAGTTCTCTCTCTCAGCTCCAGCCCTCTTTTAGCTGCCATGAGCCCTCCCCAGCTTGAACTTTTCTCCTAGCCAGGCAGTGCTATAGGAACAGGGGGTTAGAACATCTCACCTGAGATTTTCACCAGTCACACAATGTGGTCATGTCACGACTACAGGTGATAGAAAAGTGATCTGTTTGTCCCATTTGGACATAGGTTTCCTCCCCCACTTCCATCAGCATGGCTATACCCCACCATGTCAGAATGAAACTGCACATGGAAGGCACATGGATATGTGCTGATGAGCAAAGCTTCAGATGTGAGCTCTAAACTAGCAGGTGAGCAGGAGATTACATGCAAACGTGGGAGTCTGATGCATGAGAGACAGAACGTCCAAGCAACTTTAGAGTCAGGAGGAGGAGCTGAACTCTTTCCAAGAAAACGAACACAGACAGTACGGGTAGCTTGCTTACAACAAGCTGCAGCTCTCTCTCTGAGCTCGGACACTTGCCCAAAGAACTCGCTAATGGGGAGGGACATGTAATAGTAGGTTGGGAAGGGCTCACAACAGTCCAGTGACTGCAGTCTCTTAAGAGCTATGGGAATGAGCTCAATGGAAACTCTGTAGTGAAGAGTCCTAGTCCTGTAGGGAATCCTAGATTTCTGCCGGAGGAGTCTGAGAGGACCCCTGCTTGCATGTCATTGGATCACAGGACAGTAGACAAAAAGATGGCATAAGTGACATTTGTGAGACTCTGAAGGTACAAAGTGCATATTTCAGAGTGTTCTATTTGTGCAAATGGCCAGTAGCCATTCCTGCTACATGTGGTTTAAAGCAATAAAGGCTAGTTTGGAAGAAATAGGACATTGCATAAATCTTCAGCAGTGAGACAGACGTGTTCAGGAAAGCTTCAGCTGTGTGTTCTGGCATTATACAGTACACAATCAGAGCATAGCCAGAAAGCCGTCTCTGAACAAAAACAGAACAAAAATAAAACCCCTTTCACTGAATATCATCTTATTTTGGCACGTGTATTTGTTTACTTCAAAGTTATTTGTAAAATGCATGGTGGAGTTTGGCCTCAGAGAAGAGAAAACAAGCTGTCTGAACTTTAGGTCAGTTCTTCAGGGAAGTAATATTGTAAGTGATGAAAGCCCTGTCGGCTAATCTAAAGTTGTACAATTTTCTTGCTCTCAACTTGACATTAAAAATCCTGCAGGTGCAAGATTGCAAAGCTCAAGAAGTTAATGAGCACAGAGACCACTCACAATCCTCTGCTGGGTCTAATTGTTTTTTGAGAATGCACATTTTTACCAACCACTCGTCACTTCCATAAATCCAGGAGAGCTCTTCTCTCATGCTTGCAGTAGAAATGGCTTGGTTTTCTGTGCATACATTCCTCCCTTTTTCAAACAAAGCTGTTCTGTTTTGCACAGCCCTATTCCTTCTGGAGCACTGACTCCTCCACACACAGTCTGCCTCTCAGCTTTTACACCAGTCTAATTCCTGGCTATGTATTATCAGGAGTAACAGTAAAAAGTTCAAGCTGCCATGCATTTTATTTGCATTTTTACTAGACTCCAGAGATTTAAACATTAGATCTAGAAAACAGACCATTTTGCCAGCAGTTTAAACCAGAATTAAAACATGAAAAAGTTGATCATATTTATTCATTTTTCATCTACTTAGATACTGGCAGTCAGGGTTATGACCAGGAACAGAAATAAACTACAACCTTCTAAGTGCCAGGGTATCTTAGGTCAGCACATTGTTTTAAGTTGACTAACAGACAACCTGAATCCCAGACTGCAACAGCCATTCCTGAATATTGGAGAATCATTACGGTGAGCTGCTCTACCATGAAAAGAGCCAAACAAAACCCTCTGTTACACCCAGATCATCCCAGTGAACTCACTGGGGTTACATCATGCTTTTATATGAGGGGATCATGCAGATCTATGTTTCAACAAAGAGTGGTCTTAAAAGCAAAGACATCGGTGACTGCTTCAGAAGAGATGGCCTCTGGTGTTACTTGCTGGAGATGCAATAAACTCTGTGTTTGTACCACAGAAAGAAAGCTGGTTGACAAATGACCATTACAAAGCCAACATTAACTTGGAGCAGTACATGCTCATTACGGCAGCGCTGAGCTGGCCAGTGGCTGGTGCAGCAATCCAGCTTACTATCAAACTTGTGAAATCCCAGAGTCCAGGCAGAGGTTGATTAGAGGAAGAAACACCATACATTTGATTTAATATTAAACAAAAAATGAAAAGGCAAGTCGTGGTTTTGGGGGAGAGAAAACATCTTTAGTAAACCTAGAGCTTCTTTTTTGCTCACCAGTTGTTAATGAGCCATGGAGGTGCCAGCCAGGGACACTTGGCTCCCACAGAAGATAGGACGACAGGAGTGCACTCGCAGGAGCACATGGGAGAGTGCTGCTAAGACTTTCACTCTAATACAACAGCTTCGTATTATTACTACTGCCCTGCTATACACGGATATTTAAGCTATAAATAAAATGCTCTGAAATAAGAGGACTGCATGACTGAATGGGCCCCCAGCTGTGCACCACACACAACATTCTTCCTTCCTCCCAAATGGCCTGGTAAAGCTACATTTCCACTTTTTTGCTAACATCAATTAGTGATACTTTAAATGCTGAATCAGTAACTGAGGTTAAAGGAACCATTCCACTGTCAAAACACATCTATTATTTTAACCCCTTGGATAAATACACAGATCTTCTCTAAAGCATCCCTGAGGCTGGCAGGCTAGAAATTGCCAGTGTCGGAAGGGTTAAGAAGACTCCTTTATTATCTCTCTTTCATTTCGGGTCTGCCTCATATTTTACACACATGTCAACTTTTGGGGCCTTGAGAGGGAGAGCTTGAGCATAAGCAAACCTGCGCACAGGAGTAAGTGCTTGGCTCTCGCAGAGAGACTCCTCATTGAAGCTGTACTCATTGCACTGTGAATGTCTCTATTAGATCACGGATTATTTATAAAATGACACTCGAGATTTACCATCCTATAATTACCATGGCACAACGACCAGCTCCAGCAAGGGCAGAGCCAGAGGAGGTCAAATATTAACAGGGAGGCTGGGCAGCCAGTTAAGTAAATCCTGCAAATGTTCTGTCACAAGGCTGTCAGTCTCTCTGCTATCCAAACAAGAATCCGTCTGGGACTTGGACTACAGAAGAAAGAAAACTGACCATGATGATGAATTAAGGCAGGTCATCACTTGGAGCATCAGATAGTGCTGTTTCCTCCGCAGTGTCAGCTAAGTTGCAACATCATTAAATTTATGTAATCAAAAACAATGAAATAGCAATTAATAACGTAATATTGTGGAAACAAGGTCACTAGCTGTGTGATCAAGTTCTTCATTCTGCTTCTAACTGGGAAGCTTTGCGAACAAGCTTTTGTCATTTTGTATCTTGTGGTTATTTACAATATTTATATAGTATTTCTTTGAGCCTGAGTAATTGCTCACATAAAGGGGCTCTCCTCTCAATCCTAGGGTGAAGAAAGGAAGAATTTCTATGGGAAAACTGGCCTTGACACTAGGTTATCACACTCGGCTTTTCTTCAGAATGCTGGGAAAACTCTGTCTTGTGCGAGGGAGATCTTCAGTCGTTAAAAGGAACGACACTGGTGAAGCTAGAACTAGAGGGTACAGCTGCTCAGTCTTGGGCCATGTATTCTTTTTTGGGCTACGTGCAGGGATTACTCCTAATTTGTGCCCCTTTTCCTCACCCGCACAGCACAGGTTCTGCACGTGCTACAGTGCGTCTGGCAAGGCCACAGGAGCAAGCTTTTGTTGGCTGATTGGGTTAAAACATCTAAAAATGGATCATTTTACCCCAAATTTTTGTTTGAAGTTCACTGCTCTTTAATTTCATCGGGTCTTAATATCAACCCTGAGGAAACAATTAATAAAAAGCAATCTATTTGAAATAATGCACTGAAGCATTTTAGAGAGTTTCAGAAGAATGCTTAAGAAATCTGCCATATTCCATCAGAACAGTCAGGGGCAAACTTCTGTGAACTATATATGCTCAGACGGATGTGAAGAAAATGAAACCAACCATTTCAATGACAAAAGTAAACTGAAGTCATGGGATCTCTCACTCTGATAAATCTCACAGGACCTGCCCTTTCTCCTATCTTGGGTTTCAAAAGGATATTTCAAATTGAGAATTATTTAAGGCCTCGTCTACACAGTTTGAGCACTGATGTAAGTAAATTAGCACAGAAGTTCTGTGTAGACTAACTCTAGATGAGTCGTCTTACAGGGAGAGACAAGTTTAAACCCGACCCTTATGTTTTATACAAATAAAAATAGGAGGCTTGCGAGAGGTATAAATCCTCATTTAAATAGAATTGTATTTTTTTAAATGAAGAGATTTTTGAACATATCCCTGCATACCGGGAAATCCAAACATAACAACCATGTGGCAAGAGCATGGGCCATGATTTTCAAAAGTGATGGCAAAGCTGATTGAAATTTTGAGTTTTGAGGAAAAACTATGAAAAACGTCTAGTCTAGTGACTTGGGCTTTCGGGTGCCTAATGTGAGATACTTTGGGCACTCAAAACTGAAAGTGAAATGGACTAGTTTAATTTCACAGTCCCAAAGTGAAATGAAGTGTAAACAAACAGCATAAGTGGTGCTGGTAGGTTGTAAGCTCCAAAGAGCATCGTGTGTGCTAGGAATGCAGATAAGGCATATTTCACAGATCTGGGGGCTGCTTTTCAGAAGTGCCGAGACTCCATATCTCCAGTTGAAATCAATGAGAACTGTGGGGGCTCAGCACCTCTGAAACCCAAGCCTATGCTATGAATCTCAAACGGGCCCTTTAACACAAGATCTATCTCCCCATTCATAATTCTTCACACCAACTAAGGCTTTGTGGGATTTAACTGTTGCAATGTAACTGACTTTCGATTTCAAGCTCCCATTTATGCCGGTCACCCTTGAGATCAGAGCTGAAATGACATCCCTCAGCAAGCCAGTCTGAATGGAGCACACCGAGAGGCCAACCTATGCACAAGGTTTTCCAGAGGGAGTCTATTTCTATTACAGTTTTGAGTAATCTCCCACCTCCCCAAACAGACTTTAGAAGGTTTCAAATATCTAAATAGCTTTCACGGGATGGAGGGGGCTAAGGACAGCATAGGGGCTAGCGCTGCAGGCAGAACAAAGGGATGCACCCTACTCCTTGGGAGTGGCAGGCATCACTCCCTAGGCAACCCTTTGGCAGCTAATTGACAAGATCCAGAGGGTGTTCCACACAACCAACCCCACACAGGGATTTTGAGATGGGTAGAAAGGGAAGATACCTCCCTTTTGCCCACATGCTCTCCACCAAAAATGTTTTATCTTCTCTTGAGCAATGATCCCTACACGTACATATAAAAGATTTCAGAGTGCTTTACAAGGGTGGAGACTATAATCCCTTCATACCAAGAGGGAAAGTGAGAGACTTGTCCATGGATGAACAGTCAGTGGCAGAGCCAGGAACAGACCCCGTCCCCCCATTACTAGATACTGCTACAGCCCCAGAAGATTTAACCCACCACCTCACCTGTGCAGCTCATCGTCAGAGGGAGAGTACTTGGAGGTTACATCAGCAAGGTCACCAAAGATCTGTTTACTGTAAACGGTTAGTGAGGACAGCAGAATCAGCTCCTGCCATGTGGAACTTAGCAGGCAAGTATAGTCCTTGATTGACAGTTCACAGAAGAATGGCAGCTTCTTTATCCAAGCAATCTGCCTGAAAAGCAACTCATCTGCCAGACGACACAGCAACGCAAACAGCTCTGCCTGAGTCACTTTATACCTGCAGGCACAGTTAACATAAAAACGGATTAAAAACTTTGGAACACAAGGCACCAGAATAACCAGATAAAATTTGTGTGTGTCTTGATTCCTGGTGACCACAGTGTCACCCAGTGGTGAGAACAGAGACGGACTGCTGGCTTTTCTGCTCCTGAGCCCGCAGACAGCAGGCGATGAAAGGTCCCATCCCTGCACCTGTGTTTCTCCCCGGAGACGAATGCCATCCCTGAAGATGCTGACTGAACCTAACTAGCAATCTTCTCATTCTACCAGCAGCTCTGCTCTCAGGAAGCCTCCTGCAGTCCAGGACACCAGACAGCTTAACAAGCTGCTGCTGCTTCCCAGTTACAAGGAAAGCGGATGTTGTACTCCACAGATGTGCAAAATATTATGCAAAAACCAGAAAAGTGATTTCACTTGTGAAATAGATCCTCTCAGCCGTCAGACATTAGCATCACAGTCTCAGCTCTAGCCCTTGGGTGACATTCTTTGGCTACTGGCTTCAGAATCAGGCATAGTTTATTTAATTACCTATACACATGCAAAATTAAGAGATCTGTAAATACAATGTTGTTATGAATTTAAATACTCAAAAGGTATTCCCCCAATAACCCGAATTTACACAGGTTCCACATGCTGTGCATGTGCAGAGACAGTACACACAGTATCGGCATTACAATGGAGTGGCTCAGGGCAGCCTCACTCCACCAGATCACGTGCACTTACCCATCTTCAATAAGCATTGGAGTGCCGAGTGGTTCCAGGGCCTCAGCTGACACTAGCTGATTGATAAGACTATGTGACTGGGGATCTAAGCTTCGGGTCTGTGGGGGCATCAGAGCCGAGTGAGCAGAGTAGTTAAAAAGGTGCGGTAGGTACTGATAGTGCGTGGACACTGGAGTCCCAATATATTGATCCCTGAGTGCAGTGAATCCATTCAGCTCCACAGACCTACTGAAAAGGAAAGATCTATTTAATAGACTGGACAAACTCCATCTAATTCATTACAATCTTTCATCCAGCTCAGGGACAGATGGAAATAAGAATGCTTCATAGAAAAGAAAAGGGATGAAAAATCCCTTCTGGTTAAATTCTGTGGTGAAAGCAATCAAGAGCATGCAGACCAGCTGCTCCATACTTGCATCAGGTCCAGCCTGACCTCCATGCTAGTTCCATTTAATGTGACTTTCTAGAAACGCTGCTGCTTCGAAAGCATTCTTAGACTAAATCACATAGCCAAGGTTTACGCTAAGCATTTCCATCTCTACTTACTGAGAGGCCCAGAATTTAGGTTTGTGAATAAAAAGGTTTACAAAACTTATGAATAAAAATATTTTCATTTACATTTTTAAAACAACTGATAATGGAAGTGTGTGTGCGCATGGGGGGGGGCATTGGTTTGATATTTAAACATTCTTTCCAGTGTTTGCAACCCAAATACTCAAACACTGTGCTAGGGGACACAAACCTAAGAGTAACACAAACTATAAAGTAATTAGAAAATCAAATATGTTGACTAGCTCATTTTCAATATACAAACAAAATAAAATGGAAGAAAGTGAGCAGACACCATTACTAGGGAAAAGGTAAATTATGTGTATAAAATGTTCAGATTTTCATAATCTGAAGTGGTATTAAAACAGATTAAGATATCTGCTTTAAAAGGTAAGACCTTTAACCCAACATTCCTTTGCCATTCTTTCATGAGAATTTTACTCTCCGATCACACTGGATTGATCTAACACAGTGTATATGTCTCTAGCTAAAATATGTTCACGAAGAGGTCAGCATTTGCAAGATGTGTTTGAGTTACACAAGCAAAATGCTTATTTTCACTTTTGGCCCAAAATGTAGCCCTCAGGGAAATACAGGCAGAGTTACATTCATCTGAAACTCTTTCAATGGAAACTCCCACCTTGAAGACGGAGTAGAAACAGGTGATGGCTGGTTGCTCTCAGAAACTCCATTCCCAGGAGAACTATGGTCACTGTCTCCATTGTTACTCCAAGAGATGTTTGCCTCCCCCTCAAATTCTTGTCCAGACATAATTCTTTCAATCTCCTCCTCTGATATCTTTTGGGTAAAAATTATTACATTTAGTGATAAACTTATTCCAGCCAAGTACATAACTAAGCAAGACTGAGTTGCACATACCACTGGAGCGACATATACTGCTACTTTAGCATGGAAAAATTACTAAAACCTAGAATTTTTTGAGAGGGGTCTTTTATATGGGAGGAACATTCAAATATACTTCCATGCTTTTCTTATTGTTTTTCCTACTTTTTACTAATGAGAGATTTGTTTTTAAATAAGGATTACAGAATTATCTGACTGCCCAGAGTCATAACAGTACAAGCCAAGTGAAGTCAATGTGGTTCTACTTAGAGGAGGAAGATGGTATAAATGAGGCCAGAATGAGAGCTTAAGGCAGAAAGAGAAAGTTACTGACCTTATAGTAACTGGAGTTCTTTGAGATGTGTGGTCCCTATCTGTATTCCATGGAGTATGCATGTGCTCCACGTGCCAGGAACTGGAGAATTTAGAAAGCAGCGTCCATTGGTTCACACATGTGCCCCAGCTCACCTCATGCCTCTGACAGAGGAGATAAAGTGCAGGGCAGACCAACCACCTCTCCAGACCAACCACCTTTTTCTTCTCCACTGCAAATCAGAGAAGATCCGAAGCAGAGGGGAAGGAGGGCAGGTAGTGGAATAGAGATAGGGACCACACATCTCGAAGAAGCTCCAGTTACTATAAGGTAAGTAACTCTCTTTTCTTCAAGTGCTGGTCCCTATGTGCATTCCATTGTGGGCGATTGACCAGCAGTACTCAAATAGGAGAAGAGTGCTAGGTCATAGATGGCAGAGCCAAATGAAGGACTGCTGTTCCAAAAGATTCAATCAGCAAAGGAGTTCTGCACCAAGAGACAGTGTCAAGCAAATGTGTGGACTGAGCTCCATGTAGCTGCTTTCCAAATATTAAATAGAGGCACCTCTTGAAGTGACACCATAGATGTTGCTTGTGCTCTTACCCCATGAGGGGAAGATTAAACAGCTGCTAGAGCAAAATACAGCCAGAGATCCATTTTGAGATTCTTTGAGAGGATATAGCCTGACCCCTGACCCTTTCTGCTATGGGATTTCTTGATTGTTTCCCTGCTCTGCAGGTAAAAAGCTAAGGCTCGCTGAATGTGAAGGGAATGCTGTCTTTCTTCTGAGGATGCGCGAGATTTTGAGAACACCACACGTAAGTAGATACACTGGTTCAGGTGAAATGCAGAGACTACTCTGAGAATGAATTTAGGGTGTAGACATAATGAAACTCTGTTCTTATGAAATACAGAATAAGGAGGACCTGCCATCAATACCCCAAGCTCATCAATCCTCCCGGCTGAGGTGATAGCTACGAGGAATGCAACCTTCATGAATAGGACAGACACGGAGCAAGAAGCTAATAGTTCAAAAGGAGGCTTAGTTTAGAGAACAAGGTTCAAGCCCATTGAGCAGTAGGCCTTTTTTTCTTAAATAGGCAGAAAGGTTCTGATTGACTAGCAGATTCTGGAAAGGCCTAGATGGTGTGCAAAGATCAAGTAGCCCCGTGAAGGCAGATGGTATACACTGACTGCTGACAAGCAGACCCATAACGAATTGACAGGCAAACCTGCTGTCTTCAAGGAAAACATATAGTCCAGAATGAACGGAATATCTGTGGCTTCTGGAGAAATAGGCCTGATGCGCCCAGATAAACGCTTCCCCTTGACTAGGTAACATTTTCTAGTGGAATCCTTCCTATGAGAAAAGACATTCTGCACAGCTTCAGAACATGATTGCTCTAAGGACGATGCCCAAACAAAAACGAGGCTCTGAGATGAAGCAGCCATTGGCTGGAATGCCTGATATCGCCATGCCCCTGAGTCAGGAGACTAGGACGTGTAGGAATGTGATCGGTGCCCAAAATGACATGGGTAGGAACCAAAACCATCTGAGCCAGTTGAGGGCAATGAGATTAACTCATGCCCTTTCATGCCAAACCTTGTGCAAAACTTGAGGCAAAGGAGTGGTGGTGGAGGGAAGGCATAGTTCAGATCATCTGACTAGGGAAGGAGTAGAGTGTTGCCCTATGAGTAGCAACCCAGGGCTCCGCTAGAACAGTATATGTTGCACTTTCTAGTTTGTTGGGGAGGAACAGGTCCCTGGTGGGATCCCCTTTAGAGCAAAAATATTGTTTACCACAGAGTCACGAAGCTCCCACTTGTGATCAACTGCAAATTGTCGCTGAGAGAGTCCACTAGCACATTCTGGTTTCCTGGGAGGTAGACACTGACAGGGTAATCTGATTGCCAATGCACCAGTTCCACAGACTGACCACTTCTGCACATGGCAGGGGGGAGGGAGCAGGTGAAGCTTGCTCCTTGTTTGTTGATGTAAAAGCCGGTTGTGATGTTGTCTGACACTGTGAGCGCATGGTGACCTTGAACAAATGGGGGAAAGGTTTCGCAAGCCCTTCGAACTGCTTGTAGCTCTAGAACATTGATGTGCATCCGGACTCTCGAGATGTCCAGATGCCTTGTTCTGTACGGTTGTCCACGTGGACTCTCCAACCCAACAGGGATGTATTGATAATGACTGTCCTGTCTGGTGCAGAGGCTACTGCTGATTGAAGAGCGGTCCTGGCAGCCATTTTGCTTTCCTCTGTGAGAGCCTGGAGACAAGCTCTGTCAATGGAGTCGGAGTTTTGAATAGTCCAGGAAGTCATACTTGGCCAACAGTGCTTGGTAGCTGGCTATTCTGAACTGGAGGCTAGGAGAAGAAAATACTTTCCCCTTCCCAATAAGCGGAGATGCTTGCCCTGTTTATCAATCAGGGTAGATTGAGGGTGTTACTGCCTAGAACTCTCTACAGCCATTTGGACCCCCAAAAATTAGGAGTAGAATGAAAGAACAGAAATTCCATCACCTTGGCTGGGACACAGTACCATTTCTCTGCCCTCTTGGGCATGGAGGTGCAGGTCGCTGGGGTTTGCCAGACCCCGCCTAGCTGGCTCCAGGATAGTTTTATTAACGAGGAGCACTATTCTACTGGAGCCAGAGGACTGAAGGATGCTTGTGTTGGAGCTTGTGGAGGAGCTTGTGTTAAGGCTCCTGAACCTCCTCAAGAGGAATCTGCAGCTCCCCTGCAATTTTACAAAGGAGTTTCTGGAAATGCTTATAGCCATTGGAGGAGGCTGGAGACATTGAAGTCACTACCTCATTTGGCCATGAAGACGGCAATCTCATCTGATTTTGTAGAACTGCTGGATCCAGTGTGTACTTCTATTCCTCAGTAGAATCTGGGGGCAGCTCCAGATGTCCCCTCGAAGGGGAGGGAAGGGGTGACTCTCCAGGAAACCAGACTGACTCTGTGAGATGGTACTGGTCCCATGGCCCCCAGCATGGCCAAAAGGATGGGTCAAATGGGGTTGTGGTTGTCCCTAATGCATCAATGGCATGATGAGGCAGAGGTTGGTCCCAAGCTGTTCCAGGAAGGTGTTTTGGAGGAGGACGACATAACGATTCATCTCCCCATGAGGAAAAAATGACTTTAGTTCCAATACGTTTGCCATTGGAAGGAAATCACAGCCCAAAGATGGACAGGGAGACAAACTCCTTCAAAAGGCCGGCTCCCCTGGTGGAGTCATAACCTCTCTCTCAAGAGAGGGAACCAAAGGAATGGGAGATTCAGGGTCTGAGAGAGCGAAGATGTCGTCAGAAGCAGCATAGGTCTCGTCTCTTACCAAAGAGAGAAGAGTCCTGTTTGCCTGAACCACCAGAGCCACAGTAGAGACAGCGAGCCAAAGCCATTAAAGTCAGATGGAACCGTGTATGACCAATGCTCTCGGTCTTCATTGGTGCCGGGGGAAACTCAGGGCTTGTGCTCAGGAGATACTGGTACACCTGATCATGATGTGGTGTCAATGAAGCCCTAGACTTGTGGGCTGCCTTATCATGCCTCAGATTTAGTATGTACTACGTTCTCTTGGGCTGAGTTAGTGCTCAGTTTAGGGAGGGCCACATACGACTTCTTTGAAGTGGATTTGGAGGAAGACTTAGCCTCCTGCTTATGAGAATGCGCCCTGCTCTCCCAACAAGACCCCACTGAGGGATCTGTGGGGGTAGACTCCTTTGCTCCTGATTTAGACCTCATGGAAGTAGGCATGCTGCTTGCTGAGTCAGGCCAATATACGGGGAGAGGAAGGGGTCCCCCAGCTACAGTCTGATAGTGGCCTCATGGGCCTTTCCATTAGGTGCTTCCTAAGGGGAAGTTCCACCCTTTCAGGGTATGGCTGGAGAACAAACAGCAGATACTGCACCTTGCTGCAATGTGGGCTTCCACGAGGCAGTACAAGCAGCATTGGTGGTCGTCACTGATGGAGGAGGATCACAGGCAGGAAGCAGAAATTTTGAAGCCCATAGTCCTGGGCACAGTCCAGTACCCAAAGAAAATCTGGGGAAAGGGTGGTGCTCCCCAGGTCAGAGAGACTGGCTAACTATAAAACATTAAAATGGAGAGATAAAAACTTCAAAACCCTCGAATACTAAAACTATTTAGAGATATCTAAATATACTTTCACAGCTAAAGAAAAAACCTGAAGCATCAGAAACAGGAGATTCCAACCCGGATCAGGCAGTGGTGAGAAGGAACCGGAGAGGCTGTCAATCTTCCCTACCTTTATCTCCTCAGTTGGAGGCGCAAGGTAATCCAGGGTGCATGTGCGGAACAATGGACACTGCTTTCAAAATTCTCCAGCTTCAGGCATACCCACTGCATACCCACAGTGAAATGCACATCGGACTAGCACTTGAAGAGCAATTACTAGATCTGGAGCATTTTGCTCCCTTACAGCCCACAGCATTTCCCTACAGACACATGCAGTTAAATCAGAGAGGTGATTGTCTCAGGCAGTGAAATTTGGAATTAATGTTCCAGATGCAGCAGAAGCAGCAGCTGGGCTGGGATCAGTATTATTCAGATATTTCTCTCTCCTTTTTTTCGTATGCAGCCCATATTTCCTTTCCTTCACGTCCACTCCAGCTTTGTGCTGGAGTGAGTAGAGATTTTCATAGATGCACAGCCATGGACAATGTCACGTAAGGCTCTTTCTATATTATATCTGTTTTATTAAAATAAATAGTATCTTTAAGATTGCCATTTTCCAGCCTGCAGCAAGAAAAGCTATCATTTCTCACTTGTTCAGCAGAAGCTATTGTGCCAAATTACCTAGCATTTTATAAGACATCTCCAGACATGCTGCCCCATCAATCAGGAAGACATTTATTGGGTGCCCCACTTGCAACAACTTAAGAAATTGTGGTATGGACACTGCAAGATTTACTGGGAGCTTTGCAGGGATTGAAGTGTTTGTCCTGACTTACGAAGGACAGAAGGTTTCCTATAGTCTGATGAAGTAGTTTAGAGATTACATGAATAAAATGACAGCTAGCTGATAACCTATAACCCACTGGGGCCGTGTCTTGTCTCTCTACGGCCAGGCAAGATCAGGGCTTTATTGACAAATCTGCTGCCTAAATGGAATGCATCCTTAATGACACGGGGCTGGCTGGAAGATTGTCACCAAATTAATTCAGGCCTAAATCTTGGGCCTTGTTGCTTCCATGGCATAGAGCCTCAAGATGCTAAGTAACCTCCCTGGGTTCTGCAGTGCAGAAGCCAACACAGATCCAAAAGAGAAATATCCAGCACATTCAAGGCAGTTCTAAACACCTACATAGCCTTCCTGGGGTGCGTTGTTCATGACTCTGCCTCATGCGGCAGTTAGGAGCAGCAGAAATGATGTCAAGGGAAGCTCTGAGCACATGCAGCCTCCCTGCAGGATAGCGACATTTTCCCCCCTTCGAAGACAATGACTGGTTCACCTTCCCCATTTACAGAAGTAGCATGATGGTGTCTATGTACAAATGTGCTCTGGTGTCACATGATTAAAGGCTAATAAACAGTACAGAAGCTGAAGAGCACTGCATTAGGGAAAGTGAAAGTACGCTTACCTGAACAGGTCCAATACTTTTGTTCCTGCCTCCTGGCATGCCATCTTCTCTGATTGCTGAAAGGAAAGAGCAAAACGCTGGTTAGGAACACCACTATTCTTTCACATTCTGGAGTACTATTACACAGAGAACACCTGGGCTGTGGGAAATTGCCTGCTGTCTACAGAGACACTGAATTGGAGTTTTATTTTGTTAAATAAGGCAGCTTATGTATATTTCCCCTAGGGGGAAGGGAGAGGCCGTGTAACATGCACTGAGATTCCCACTTGCAATGGGAATCATAAAAATACTTACTTGGCTGACAGGGGCAATCAGAGATTTAAGTAATATTTATATAGCCATTGCAGAGCCTCGAGTGAAAGGTGACGTAGAAATGCAAAGTACCATATCATCACCAACTGCCTGAAAACTCAAGAGATGATAAAGGGAAAGCACAAACATCCCACTGTACCACTAATGAGAACTGTGCACAAAACCAATAGCAAACACCTCTCTGGATTAAACCAGGAGCCTGTCAGAGTGTTAACTGATTCCCTCTAGTGTTGAGGCTGCAGACAGCACAAAAGAAAAGACGCTATTGCACAGGGTAAGGTCTCCTCGAGACACCACAGAGCATGGAAAGGATACACTTTACATACAAGTTACCTGTATGTGAAGCAGTGACTTGAAATCCTGGCTGTTTGACTAGTTAAGCAGTTTTGTTCCAAAAGGAGGAAGCCCTTTGGAAGGCTTCTAAATAGTGAGGCGGCATTTCTTAAAGGCTCAAACCATTTATAGAAAGTCTCAACTGTATTCAATTTAGAGCTAGTTCCACCTTTATTTGGCGTTTTCTCTATTCTCCCACAACCCCACTTTCTTCTATTACCAGGGAAATCCTGCACGGGAAAAAGACCATTGTGCCCAAGGATTTCAACTGCTCCTGCTGCTTATTCTTCCAGATGAAACCCCTCTTAAGTTTGTGAAATTGTGATCCAATAACCCCTTAATGCTGGCAAGGAGGTTCCAGGAATACCCTGATTCTGGTAGGTACATTCTGGTTTACCACAGAATGTCATGTGGGGTCTTTAGTGCAAGCCTGGGACATGCTGGTCATTAGTATCACACTGAAATGTACGTACTGACATAGTCTGGAGTTACGTATATAGACAGAAAAGAGGTTCCTAGAGCGCATACAAAGGTCTGAGTCTCCAGCAGAGGCGAAAAACAGACGAGGTGTTTATTCACCTGTCGCTCTGTTAGCTTGCAGTGCTTAATTCGCATGCTAACACTCATTTACATACAAAGTCAATGGAGAGATGTGAAATCAACAGGGAAGCAGCGCACAGGGAAAAAGCCAGGGGTGGTTATCCTGTCTCTGAGGACAGACAGTGAACATTGGGGAATACAAGCAGAAGACAAAAAGGGGCATCCCCATATCCTGCATGTAGGAAACAAATGGACAGTGTGTTTACATTCTTGAAAATGAAATCTCAGCCAGTCTTGATTGAAACACTGCGAGGCACTTTGGGGGTGAGATAAACATTTTTAGCTAGGAGGTTAGACTGTTAGTTAACTTTAGTCTCTACAAAGCATGCTATGATTTTGTTTTATATGTAACCACCATTTTTTGCACTATTCATACTTACTATCACTTGAATCTTGACTTTTTGATAATAAACATTCTTGTTTTCACTATAAACATATCTCAGTGCTGAGATCAAGGTGCTTATCCTGAGTCAACTCATACAAGCTGGTGCGTACACCATGGGCATAGTTTGGGGAGGTGGGAGGGGCATTCTCCCCCAAACTGCAAGCTTCAGGCAGGTGTGAAATTTACCCACACATGAGCAGCCCTGTTGGCCTGACTGGTGCTGCCCCCCCAAATACAGAAGTCAAACTACACCTATGGTGCACTGTACACTGTTTTGGGGCAGCAGATCTGGAATTTCTGAGAGTGTTCAGTGGATAAGTCGCTGACCATTACAGGGAAATGCTTCAAAGGGACTCAAGGACTGGGGTGCACATATTGTAAGGAAAAGTAAGAGCGGGCATAGCCCAGAGGAGTGTGCTTGAGTGACTAACAGGTGGCTCTGTAAAGGAGCGGACAGCCAGTTAAGCATAAGCAAGACTCCCTCAGGCTGGAGGGAGGGGGGTAAACAAGATGACTCTTAGTCCTGAGTATCCTGAGAATCATCACATAGGTCACAATCCCTTTCCTGGCCACCCACCGTAGACACAGGTGGATGTGGAAGAAGACTCATCCCAGCTACAAAGCAGCCTCTTGCTGCTGTGGGGTGCCCTCACTCTCCCTCTGCAGGGGCTGATAAAAGACTCATGCAGCAGTGCACACTAAGGGGGCAGGAGTAAAAAAATAAATAAATAAATAAAAAACAAAAACAAAAAAAAGAAAAAGGACAAACTTCAGCCCCAGTACGAATAATCCCAGTGAAGCCTAGTGACGAGACACTGTTTCAACAGAGGTTCTCCAACATTTTCATTCTTCAGAGCACTTTGTAGGTGCGATGCCTTCAAGGTACGTTTACCCTGCAGCTCAGAGCGCGCCTCGCAGCCAGGGCCGAGAGACTCTCACTTGTGGGGCTTGAGCAAGCGAGCTAAGAACAAAAGAGTGGAAGTTGAGGCTCGGGATCCAGCTTGAGCTGTCAAGCCTACCTGACTCCCAAAGCTGGAGAGGCCAACCTGCAGCCTGAACCACAAGGCAAGGGAGAAGCCACCACAGCCAAAGCTGTACAGAGAAAATGGCATCACCTCTGGTCTGGCAGTCTGCGGACTGGCATGCAGGTAAGGAGGCAGCAGCAGCATTCTTCATTAGCCTCAGGAGAGAGAAGATTGCATCCACAGCCCCATAAAACCAGGCGGAGTTGATGAAATACAGAATGCCTGAAGGATGCCTGGGAGCTAGCATCACACACATGGGGTCTGTGTTTTGCAGCATGCTGTGTCACTTCAGCACTGCCCACCACCCTGCTGAACTGGTCTGACAAGCTGCCAGCCACCCTTCAAAATAGGTATGTGGAACCAGAAGAGCAACTACCTCCTACAACCTCCTCTACTCTTGAGCCTACTGTCTATCTGCAGTTGAATTGTAATGCTTACCCTGAACACTCGGTCACTAAACTGGATTTTCTCTTCCTTTTGTTTGCTTATCTGGTTTTCATAGCAAAGGTGTAATCCAGATGAGGGCTCTAGCTGATGCAAGCACCACACTACTTGGTATTCCTTTAGGACACTGGTGATTTTTTTCCCAGCACTTGGAGGTTGGGTAAAACACCATTATATATATTTTTTTTTCTGCCAGGCCAGCACTGTGCAGTCACCGTGTTCAGAGAAGATGCACAGGAGTCTGTTGTACTTTAATCAGAGAAAATCTTAAACTGAGTTCTTCATTCAAATTTTGTCTGCTTCATCTGGAACGCACTCTGTGGTCTTGTTCAGCCTTCTTTTACAGTTTTTGAGAAGCACTAAACTTCAAACATTAAGTCATCTCTACGACTACAGGACTACTCCCAGGCTGCAGATCTGGAAATGGTTATCCATGCTTGTATCAGCCCACAGCAAGAGAATTATGGAGCTGTGGTGGCTGCTCTGTCTGACAGAGTGCTGCATACATTGCAGCTGGTGCAGAACCAGACTGCCAGATTTACACGATCTGAACATGTTTCATTCATTTTCAAACCTTTGCATTTGTTCTTGGTTTAAACAAGAGACATTTTAACTTAGAAGAGCTGCTAAATCAAGCCCTTGTGATACGTTGTACTTACCAATACTACTTTATTCAGAGATCTGCAGAGATGCTGCACATCTGGCAGCAGCAGTCCTTTCTGCTGTTCGGCACCCCGATTTTGGACTCCCCCTTTCCTTACACAATAGTAATTACAAGGTGCTTTGCCTGCCTCAAGGTGTTGTTTTTTTATCATGGTTGGAAACGTCATTTATTTAGTATGTTTTTGAGTGGGATTTTTAATAGAGATTGTTGTGACTCCGTGTGAAGTGCTCCCAGTTCTGTAACTAGCCTATGCCTGTAGAAGTGATGTTTGGTGATGGTTCACATGTTGGGAACAGTTCTGTTAACCTGTGTAACATTTCTTTCATGACTTACATGCTAGAAAATACACGGTGCTAAAACAGGCTGCTCTCCAAGCATTCCTGCACTCCCTGTCTTGGTTACAAGGCACTGTCAAAGGCTCTTCGAGAGAGAAATGGCAAGTTGTAAGCTGAACACATAAGAACATAAGAATGGCCGTACCGGGTCAGACCAAAGGACCATCCAGCCCAGTATCCTGTCTGCCGACAGTGCCAGGTGCCCCAGAGGGAGCAAACTTAACAGGTAATGATCAAGTGAATGCCGAGGGGCCTGCCGACCCTACAAAAATATACATTTAAACATGGTTGTGAAATATATTTGCGGTCCAATCAGACTATAACTTCTTTTCTGGCCAGTGAGGACAGAAAACCCCCCAATATGGAATTATGCTTTAACCTTGGTTTCTACAGGGGTAAAAAGATGAGCAACTTTCCTGTCCACCCAACAGCCATATTATAACACAGCTGAACCACAGTTCGCTTTGAACATGGTGATTTGATAAGTTACACAGGTCTGGTTTGAAATACCCTCCCCCCAAGTTTAATTAATTAATTTTTTTAAACACACACCTGAAAAGCCATCCAGCCTGGAGTGTCGTAAACAGCTATAAATAATGTTGTTACCAGTCACCCTCTTTTTACCATTCTAAGAGAACATCTGGTTTTTATCTGCAGAAAAAGCCCTGACTATTTGACTTTGCTCTTCAATGAGATTAATTAATGGAGTTTCCCAGAAGGAAGGAAGGAAAGAAAGGAAAACTAGTCTGTATTTCAATGTGGTATGCCTGAGCAGTGGCCAGGAGATGTCGCTGTTTCCTTCTGAATGAACAGCAGCTAAAGCCTTCAAATATTGAGACTTACCATTTAGAATAAAACCCTGAAGGACATCGATCAGTACCTTTGTGCAGATCACAAATGAAAGCAACTACGCCCACATAATGCCACAACAGGAAAACCTTCTGTCTGTGTAAACAACAACTCTAATGAGTGCAAAAAGTATCCTTGTAATAGATGACAGTTATAAGGCCGGGCGGGGGGGGGAAATGAGAAAATCCAATAATTAAACTGGAGAAAGGGGGAAAAAATCATCAAGGGAATGGAATAAGTACATGCAACAACACAGAAAGCCACATGGGCCATGATCAAAGTACTTCGAATTCTAACTCTCTCTGAAGACCTTTACTACAGGTCATACTTTGTAAAGATTGTTTTTAGATGCTTTCTGAACCAGAAAAAACACACATGAATTCTTGTAATAAAAATATTTTCAAATATAGAATCCTTGGAACATAAATGATAAGTTTACATTAGATAATTTATAACATAGGCAAACACTCCCAGTATTTGTAACCTCCAGTGCATAACATGGGACACAACAGCCCAGTCACACCTTGGGTGTCTCCCTATGTACAAAGGCAGATTAAAGGATTCCCGGAATTTACCGGAGTCCACTGAAAACTGGGACTCCATCGCCTATTGCAGGGCCGAGACTTGGAATGAAGTGAGTCCAGGGAAAAGGGAGCTAAGAGGAATGAGGCCTGCATCACTTCACAGTAATCCCCCATCGGCCGCTCAAGGAGCAATGGAGGTTTAAAGTTTTGAGGGTCGATATTTAAAGAACAGATTACTGTATAGTTTTGATGATGTCTGACAACTGCTAGGGGAAGGTGGTGCATTTCTGGTGTGGCAAGGGCCTCTCACTGATAGACTCAGCATTATAACATCTACGAGAAGGTAGGAGGCAAAGCACACCAACCAGGAGAGTAAACTGACCATTTCTCCAACCCTGGGGAGTTTTGATCATTCAGAACATAAAATTCTCCAAGTTTAAATTTAGCCAGGACTAACCCTTGTTCCTACTGAGCAAAATGCCCTGGGATCTTTTATGAGCACAAATGGTCAGGGCATCATTTTTTTCATCTCATCTCAAACACTATTTACTGTAATAGGGGTTCCACTATAAAACAGTATTTGTGGAGCTCTGGGTTTAGTGACTATATAACATTCTGTATGAACATCTAAGAATGAATTTGGTGAGTGGCTTTCACATTAGTGATAACAAAGTCTTAGGAGAATTAATAGCTGGGTTTAAAAGAAACGACATTTCTGCTTCTGAATCCAGGAAGCAGCCTTTCCCACAATGACTACTCACTTGCCTTCTGAGGCCTAATACCCTCTATGCATATCAAAGGAGCGAGCCTGAACAATCACTATATTACAGCTTCACCCAGTTCTACTCAATTTCCTGTTTGTTGTTGCGAAGTTAAAAAAAATCTGCTTTTAAAATTTAGGAGGCCACATTCCCAAGATTTAAATGGTCAAAATGTTGATGTGTCAGTGAACACCAATGCATACCAAAATCAAACTAGGAAGGTTAGTTTTTAAAAATCAGTTCTTTATTCCAGGGAAGAGTAAAAACAATCCTTTTCAAGTTAAAACAGGGATTTGATGGGCTAATTAACCACATCAAAACTTCTTTACTGGAGCACTTTTCTATTTAAATTAAAAGCCAGCATATGTGCCCTAGATTACAAAAACCCTGCATGGCCCAGTTAACCACACACCAGTCACCCCCTGATCAAAATGACAACCATATTATCTGATGCTGCATGGCATTTTAGAACAGTTGCTTCTATCAGTGTTCAGCTGAAAGGAAATACAGTATAACAAAGATTTACTTTAGGTCTTTTCATAGACAATGTCTAAAGTGAATATTCCATTATAAAACTGTTGCCCATAACTCCTCTCCCTCCACTGACTCTGTTAGTTTTTGGACAGTAATTTCTGTGACCACGATTATTTTAATAGCTATGATACAAATGCAGTAAAAGCTACCACACGAGCTAAAACAAATGGATTTTCTCCCCAGTAGTAGAGGGGCAATCACATCAGACTAAATAAGAAGCTAATGCGACAGGTTTTCAAACTGATCAGTGTGGTTCCACACTTTATCTACACGAGGAGATTATAGACAGAGCTCCCCAAATTGAAAGTGCAGAGCTCCTACTCTGCATCACCCTTCTTGGTGAAACTGTACCTGGCAGAAAAGAGGCAGACGATTCATGAACTATTACGATACAAGAGCCACCTCATGAAGAAAGTTTTAAGTGTAAAAGGGCAAATTCTTAGGGGGATGATTAAGGAAAGGTCTAACTGTGGCGTGTGATTACAACGTCAGGCACTCCTGATGTCCGTGAAATCTTTTACTGTCCCTAACTTTCAAGGCCTTTCTGTTGTCTCTAGGGATTTTTTAACTGGCTATTTAAAGCTGTTTCAAGGAGGAGTAATCCAGCAAATGGTAAGTATAGTAAAAGTCCCTTCCCCTGCCCTTTCCAAAAACATTTGTCCTTGCTAGAACGCCATGTTTGGTTACGTTTTAAAATCAATCTTAGCAAAAGTCACTTTTCTAATTCTAGTAACGGAGGCACAACCACTGGTTTCCTTAGCACGGCATAAACGAGCTGGCCCGTATTTCAAAAGTGAAAGACAACATGCAAGGAGGGTGCCGCACTGTTACCCTCATTGAGTAGCTGATCACGGTGAACAATTTTAATTCCCATTTTTAAAATGGTGTCAGCTCTCAATTCCCCCCCCCATTGTAATTCAACAGTGTTTTGACAGAACTGTTTTGGAGCAAGCACACACAGGCCTTGTCTACACTAGCCTCTCTTCCCTAAAGTTTAAGGCAGGAGATGAGTACTGTATTCCCACAGAAAGCAAAAGAGACATTTAAGCAGAGCCCTGCAAATCCGCAGACCATTTTTGTGGATAGTAGATCGGATGCAGATACAACTGCAAAGGACTCTACTCACCGGCGGCGCCTGGCCTGCAGTGTCCGGCTCGGGCAGCCGAGGGGGCATAGCGCGCTCAGGGCCAGCAGCCAGTGGCACCCGCTCGCTGCGCCGCTTCCTGTCCAGCAGCTCGGGCCCCGCCAGCGTCCCCACCATAACACGGCCCAGCAGCACTGGCTGCGCTCCCAGTCCTGGGTCCGGCCTGCCGGCTCCTGGGCAGCAGGGCCCGCCCCTGGCCATGGGGACTGGAGTGGGCAGGGCTCCGGCTCCCCACCCCTCCGCCCCACTGTGATGCAACACACAGCGCTGCTGACGTGTGCCATCCCTCGTGAACCCCCGGGAGCAGCATGCGATGCAACGCCCCTTCCCTCTGCCCCCACCACGGCTTCTCCTCGAGATTCTGCCCCTTACCCCCAGTCCCCATCCTTGCGCTGCCTCTTCCCCCAGCCCCCCACTCGCTTCCTCTCCCCACCCCCAGCCCTTGTGAGATGGCTTGCTGCTGTGGATGCGGATACAGGTAAAAGACAGCTAGCAGATTGCGTGTCGGATCGCAGGCTGACCCTGGAGGATGCGGATCCTGCGCAGGGCTCTACATTTAAGTAGGGAGGAAATTCACTGCCTGAGCTGGATTAACCCTCTCTACCTGTAGAACACAAAAGCATGCCTATATTTGCCTTTTCTGTTAATAGGCAATCACACGTTTCTCACCCTCTGAGTGGTCAAATAAGATAATATTGTCTCAAAAATTTACCTCTAAAATGAGAAGAAGGTTTGAAAACTTTCACCCCAGAAAATTTGGGGAACATTATAAACCCCTGAAAACTGGGAGTTAAAATGAAAGTGCCCCCTCAATCAGATACCAGTGTGTAGTGTCACTAGCAATGACAAAATGATACATCAGTGTCAAAGCAGGTCTGTTGAGTAGTTTGACAGGTACTGTTCACATCCAGCACAGATTCCCAGAGCACAGCAAACACTGTTAGTAAACTGAACCAATACTGACTTTTGCACCAAACCAAAATAATGAGTGAAGGGGACATCCAGTCCCCTATGGGAGCACAGAGAGATATTCTTGTTAGGTTTTAACTGACTGTTTAAATAAAACCAAAATGTTATGTTTTGAAGGTATCGAAAACTCAAACAAAAGAAGAAATCTTTCTACCCTCTCACAGAAAGAGGTGGCTTCTGTCACACAGAGAAACTGGCTGCAACGTTCTGCCCTTTGTGTGCACACTAAACAATTAAAGAAGCTTAATTCTCTTTACCTTTCCTATTCATCCCCATCTGGAGGCACTTGAGCAGCCTGCAATACTGGCATCTGTTTCGCTGTTTGCGTGACATGACACAGTTCTTGTCTCGACTGCATCTGTAAACCCGCTTGTTGCAAATGCTCCTTTTGAAAAACCCTTTGCAGCCTTCACAGGAGATGATACCATAGTGTAGACCTGTAGCTCTGTCTCCACAGATAAGGCAGGTTCGCTGATCAACCCGGTCATCTGGAAGAAAAACAACACTTTGTAGTCAGAAAATGGCATGCCTGAAAAAATAAATGATCTGAAACCTTCCTTATTCAGTGAGATATGTGTGCCTCCACCCTCACCCCCCATGCCTACAACAATGACAATTAGATCACCATACACCCACAGAGCAGAGACTTGTGACACTCCTGGCCTACAGACACACCGCATACTCCTGACGGCACTAAGGCAGCCCTTAGCACCAGTGAGATGCTACAGACTATGGCTGAAGTGTGCATGGGAAAGACATCCCAGCTCAATCTCAGAAATGGCCTAATTTCAAATTAAATATTCAAGAAGATTTTAGCAGAAGTGTGTTGATACTGAAGACCTTTAACAAGAAAGGATGAGCATCTAATGGTTTGAAATCCAAGCAACATATTGTCCTTGGGTAGCCACAGCATTATTCTGTAACATTATCGCCCCTAAGGAAGGTGTGGCTAGATTAGATCTATAAAACATGGTGTCTCCTGTAAGGAATTGACAGTCTTCCACTGCAGACTTAAGCATCACACAAGGATCCGAGAGGGGAATGCCAAACCTGCTTCTTGAAAAAAAATCAAATCAAACAAAAAACAAACAAAACCACACTACAAGAAAGAAATAGGGCAAAGAGACACACTACCTGCTCTTTTGCACTCCCCCTTCCATGTACCACTTACAGACACTTGGTTATTTCCCCTAACCCTGCCATCTGCTACCCACTAATAAATAAATTACCTAAAAAGTGGCCAAGAGAGATTGCATCACATTTACATCATCAGAATCCAGCACCATGATAATACCATAGCAGAGAGAGATGCTGGCCTCCTTCTCAAGTAACGCAAAGGAAGGAGTTGAAATGAGTAGTGAAGGTTTCTTAACTGCACTAATATTATCTCCACCCAGAGCACAATAATCCAAGAGCTAGGCTTCTCATCAGTTTCAGTTTCCAAGGGGCAACAGAATAACAGATTACGAGAAGTGATTCATTACCAGCTAATACTGGGGTTTCTCCTTCCGCTCCCAGGCCTGAAATCTTCAGTAACATGTTAAATCTTGACTTTCCAGGAATCCCATTTGCAACCATAATAAACAAATAAAGCATTTCATTTCAATTTAAATTTTAGATTATTTCAGAGGAGATCAAGACCAAGAATTCGAATATGATCTGGTGGTGAGAAGGAGGAAGTAATACAGAGCAAAGTCTAAGATTCCTTAAAAAGAAACCCCACAGAAGTGCCCCATTCGCCCAGTAAGTTAATTTAACAAAAAAATTATACAAATGTAAGGGGACTGTTGGCACCTTACTGAAACTTAGTGTGTTTTTTGGTTGGCCCTCTCCCAGTACCAAAAGAAAGGGGAAGGGCCAATGAGATATCAAGACCCTGAGTCTGACAGTCCCCAGGGCCAATGGGGAAAGGCCAACCCTCAGGCCAGCAGCCTGACTGACAAGGCAGGCAGGCCAATGAGGGAGTCTGGAGCTGCCTGGCCAGAAGGGCTGAGCTAAGGAGAGAGCAGAGCCAGCGAGAACCAGAGGAACAGTCCAGGGAGCTGAGCTGGAGGCTGAGTAGCAGCAGCGCTGAAGCACAGTGGAGCTGGAGCCGTCCAGAGCCAGATGCAGTGAGCAGCTGGGAGACCCTGGCAGAGGGCCGGCCCAGTGCCGGGAGAAGCTGCCAGCCAAGAAGTCTTCAGGCCGGACCTGGAGAGGGATCATAAGTAGGGCCCTACCAAATTCACGGTCCATTTTGGTCAATTTCATGGTCATAGGATTTTTAAAATTCTAAATTTCATGATTTCAGCTATTTCAATCTGAAATGTCAGTGTTATAATTGTAGGGGTCCTGACCCAAAAAGGAGTTGGGGGGGTCGCAAGGTTATTGTAGGGGGGTTGTGGTACTGCTACCCTTACTTCTGTGCTGCTGCTGGCAGTGGCGCTGCCTTCAGAGCTGGGCAGCTGGAGAGCAGCGGCTGCTGGTCGGGAGTCCAGCTCTGAGCAGAGACGCCACCAGCAGCAGCAGCACAGAAGTAAGGATGGCCTGGTCTGGTATTGCCACCGCCACCGCCACCCTTACTTCTGCGCTACTGCCTGCGGAGCTGGGCCCGTCACTCTCCGGCTGCCCAGCACTGAAGGCTGGAGCACAGAAGTAAGAGTGGCATGGTATGATATTGCCACCTTTACTTCTGCGCTGCTGCTGGTGGGTGCTACCTTCAGAGCTGGGCACCCGGCCAACAGCCACTGCTCTTCAGCTACCTAGCTCTGAAGTCAGTGCAGAAGTAAGGGTGGCAATACCGCAACACTCCTAAAATAACCTTTTGACCCCCCTGCAACTCCCTTTTGGGTCAGGACCCCCAAATTGAGAAATGCTGGTCTCCCCCCATGAAATCTGTATTGTATAGGGAAAAGCACACAAAAGACCAGGTTTCACGGGGGGAGACCAGATTTCAGTCTGTGATGCGGTTTTCATGGCCATGAATTTGGTAGGGCCTTAATCATAACCCCAACGGAGGAGCTGATGCTGGGGGGAAGGGCCCTGCCACTTAGAGCCTGAGGGTGTTTGACCTGCAGGGTCCCTGCAGCCAGAGCCGTCCCTTGGGTACGGTGAATTGGGGCGACCGCCCCGGGCCCCACGCGTTGGGGGGGGGGCCCTGCGGGCGGGGAGGGGAGGCGAGGCGGGAGGGCGAGTGGGGTAAGGAGACAAACGGCATGCAAGGTGGGCGGGGGGGGGCAAGAAGGAGCCCACCTACCAGAACCTCCCACTCCCCTAGCGGATCCCACTGATCAGCGCCTCCCCCTCCCTCCCAGCCCCTACCGCCTGCTGTGGATCAGCTGTTACGTGGCATCAGGAAGTGCTGGGGGCGAGGAGCCAGGGCCAAGCTCGTTTGGGGGAGGAGGTGGAACTGGGCAAGGAAGAGGCGAGGTGGTGTGGGGCTTTGGGGGGAGGAGGGGAGTGAGGGCGGGGCCTGGGCAGAGCCAAGGGGAGCACCCCCTGGCAGTTAGGTCCCAAGTTTCTAATGTCTCAGGCCCCACACCACCCTAGGGACGGTCCTGCCTGCAGCACATGTGAGGAACAGACACTGAACTTCCCCTATGCTCCAGACAGGTCTGGTTTTGGTTTCCCCATGCCCACAAAGTGGGATTACTGGTTTCCTTTAACCTTACCCTTTTTTCCCTTATTTTTTCAATTGATTGCTGTTTAATAAATTGTATTGCCTTTGAACTACACCTCTACCCCGATATAACGCTGTCCTCGGGAGCCAAAAAAGTCTTACCGCGTTATAGGTGAAACCGCGTTATATCGAACTTGCTTTGATCCACTGGAGTGCGCAGCCCTGCCCCCCCAGAGCACTGCTTTACTGCGTTATATCTGAATTTGTGTTATATCAGGTCGCGTTATATCAGGGTAGAGGTGTATATGCAATGATCAGTGGGTCAGAGAAGCGTCTAGAGTGGAGAGAGTACCCTGGAGTGGGGACATCCGAGTCCCTGTTCTAAGTGACCACAACAAGATTAGGTGTCGAGTCCCCCAGGAATCCTGGGCCCAGCCTTGTCGGGATTACAAGGACACTGCCACACAGGAGAGTGGAAGGTCTCCTGTGAGAGTGGAAGGTCTCCTCAAGGTCAGGCAGACCTCTGGGTAAAGAGAGTGGGAACAGGGACTCAGATCCTTCCGCTAGCCAATTCCACCAGGGTAATGTATAAGCCAGGAAAGTTCCCCACAATAGTGGGACAATTCCCCCGCTTACACGAGGGCTTGTCAAATAAATTGCAGTTTGGATTCTGGAAAGTGATTATTTTACATTGCAATAACTGTCCTTCTTTATAATACCCTAATCATGTCACAAAAATGTAATTTTTCTTTATTCCACACTCAACATTACTGCAGAATTTAAACCACCATACTTCAGTGTCAAAATGAGAGACTTCATGGCTTCCCGTGATCCCATTTCATGTGTTTCTTTTAACTGTAGTTAATAAAGAACAGAGTTGAGATCAAAGGCTTGAGTGACACATTTCCTTACTAATGTGGTCCATGGATATTGTATTACCGCCAAGATCCATATTTTATTTCCAATTTTATCTTAGTTTTCATTTAAACATTCTGCTCAATATCGGATATTAACAGTAAATGTGTGCCACATATTAGGAAAATGCCAATACCTGTCCAAAGCTTGGAGGAAAACACCAGTTTATAACAGATTAATTCTAACAATGATGGATTTCAGATTCTCATGCAGACTCAAGGCACGACACTGGGGAGCATTAGCACATCAATTGAAATACTATGCTGTGTCTTTTACTTCTCCTACAGATTGCTCCTCCTCTCTGAGGTACTGTGCTAGTAGCACTACGAGGGCAGCAGCACTACCCCTTAGTTCAACAGTAGTGTAAGAGGAGAGGACAGCGCTCGGAAAAGCGATACAGCACAGACTGAGTGCAAACAGAGCACTACTGTGCACAGGGCAACCAGTGTATGCAGAACCATGCCTGGGGTGGAGTGGGTAGCTTGGTAAGCATGACAGGCTTGCTTCAGTGCTCAGGTTTCCATATGGCAGAAATAAATCAGTGTGAATGAGTTGGAGGTGGCTGGCAGAAGCCAAATTGGACTTCCACATGGAAAGCTTTGCTCTAAGTCAACTGACATGATCAGAGAGCGAAAGCAGAGAAAATTTGGCCAACAGATACACATTGATCTCTCTGCTATATAAACACGTATGGTTATAGCTTGTGTTTTGTTCAGGCAGGTATGAGACACCAGAAAGATGGGGTTGTTTCTCTGTTTTACCCCAGGAGTATCAGCAAAAGCTTTGCTGTGCAACTGACACACAAGAATCCAAATGAACATTATACAAATGATGATAAGGTTAAGACACAAAGAAAAAAATCCAGTCAATTCCCTTTACAAATCTTAATGAGAGCCTTTTGGATGAAAAAAATGTAAATTGTACTACTCCCAGCAATAGGAGCTGTCATATTAAATTTGGTATCTTAAGACGGTAATATTCCCACTGAGACAGAATAGGGCTGATGCATGGCTCAGGAAGGATCGCAGTGGGCATGTAGTAATTTTCATAGACAGAGATGTCAAACTGAAAGGAAAATAAAGTAAATGATGGCTAAAGCAACTGACTTTGTTAACCTAGATGTATTCTCATTATCTCGTATCTACACAGTTAGACCTAAATCTTGCTTCACATTACAAGTCGGTTGTACTTAAAATAATTCCATCAACTTGTATGTAAAGCCTTTTTCTGCAGAACGTCCCAACCAGGGCCAAATATGCTTTAACTCTTGTCATCCCATGCAAATCATGTACACAACAGATTTTTAACCATACAATTTTTTCTTGTTATACACAAACTGACTTTAAAAAATAGATGTTATTCAAGTATGTTCAGAGAGGAAGTACAGAGTTGAACTGTTACCGTTTTCAAATTATAATTTAATCACACCAACCTTCAGTTTGAGCAAGTGTAAAATATCCAGAGCAAATCTTTTTTTTCCACTGAATTAGAGAAATATAGTCTCCTGTAAGTAGGAGCCTTTTCACATAAAAAGTCCCCATCTCTTCAACTGTGTTGCTAAGACCCTGAAATTAAAGACTCAAATGGGGGGGGGCTCAACTGGAATTGAAAACAGGTGCAAGTGAAATTTGTTTTCTAAATAGTGTTTACAGTGAATAAAGAAATAGGATTTGCCATTTCATTGTACATAACAGCAAACAAGTATGTTTCGTGACCACACTTCCAGTTCAGGAAGAGCAGCTCCAAGAATGAAAGGTAACAGGACACACACAC